ATCGACGCAGCTTTTGGTGCAAAGAGGTACGAATTCGTCCCGAAATGAGACATTTTGTATGACATGTGTAGTGTTTTTGAAAATGCCTATGGTCGTTCACAGGGCTGTGTATTGGGGCGCAGATAAGGTCCCGATGAATAGGAGCGCCTCCACATTCACAGACCTGTACACAGAGCTATGTATGTTGGTGTTCATAAGTGTTCTGGATGCGATTGAATGTCTTCCTTAATTTTAGAAAATGTGTGCCATTTTTAAGTCGTATATGGTAAAACACTTTCTTTTCTTTCTATCAGACTCTAGTTCAATAATAGCCGTGGTTTCGCGGCGTTTTGGGTCCACTCCACTCCTCACACACACCAGTTTTCCTGGCCTTTGTATTACCCCTCGCATAGGGCTTTTTTGCTACTAGCAAATGATACATTTTACCACTCGCATATGCCGTTTTTACCGCTAGCATATGGCATATTTTGCTACTTGCGACTCGCAACTTGGTACTCGCATATGGCACTTTTTCTAGGTCGTACATACCTCTTTTGACAATCAAACGGTTAAAGTAAATCACGAAACGTCTTTTTCTATATGTGTATTAGAAGTTTGAAAAACTTATTTTCATATTATTTATCACTTATTGAATTACTTCATTCCTAGAAACCGTACCATTCCATTTGTGTAGATGCTCTAATAGAAAGCACATTGCTCTAAGTTATACCATTTTAATAGAAGTTGCAGCTTCTAATTTTACAGTATCTGTCGTTACAAAACATGTAATTCAACTTTGATGTACTCGTATACAATATGTATTCATAGGTATGGGATATAGGTGAAGATTCTGAGTGGCATTGTACTGCTAATTGGAGGGTATGTATTAACAATTTTATTACATATATGCATTGTTTAAAATTGTTTTTGGTACGTACAAATAACTACACTACACATGTGTAGTTTTGATTCTTCATCTAACCAATACTGTGGTCTGTATGCTGGATTATTAAAACATAATTTATTTTTACCATATCATAGACACAACTGTCATTCACATAAGTGTATATGTATATGCTAATAATGTAAATATGGTATAAGACTATTTCCCTGTTAACCTTTTCACCACCAGATCCTTCTTTTCATCACAAATTCAAAAATGGTCCCATTTATAGTCTGCACTTTCCTTCAGAAGATAGGGGCAAAAATAGCCAACTTTTTTTGGGTGAAAACTAAAAATTGACTCAAATTTTGTCTGTTGGCTCCAAAATTAGGGTTCATTTCCAGAAATATTTGATAAAATAAGAGAAAAAATGCAGAAACATTTGGAGGAAAGTCTGGTGGTGAAAAGGTTAAACAAATTTGAATCTTGATAATTATCCTTTGTGGAAACAAAACATTTTTTTGTCCAATTTGTTGTGTTTGATAATTTTTCCCAATGGCAAACACACATGTATGTAGTTGCATAATACTGATAACTTTCAATATTGTTTGAAGACTCACAGTGGTTCTGTATGGAGAGTAACGTGGGCACACCCAGAGTTTGGTCAAGTACTTGCCACCTGTTCTTTTGATAGAACTGCTGCAGTCTGGGAAGAAGTTGGTGAGTTGACCAGTGATACATATACAAAGAACATTCAGTTGGTTCCTATACCACTATAATTTTATTTTCATAACTCTACACAGAACTCATTATGAAATTTTTATATATTTTAAATTGCAGCTTTTGCAGCTACTACTGTATCTACCAATGATTCTCCATGTGCCAATTGTTATGCAATGTTTTAATTAATTATATTTTAAATTGAATCATTTATTAATTTCTCATTATCTTTCTACCTATAGTTGGTGAATCCAATCCAAATCACAGAGGACAGAATCACTGGGTAAGTGGAAAATTGAATCAATGTGTCTTATCATCAGGTCACATGGTTCTGGCTGCTTTTTTTGGTGGCTGGGTGGGTGGTAGGAAGAGGGTATTCAAAACAAAACGATTAACAAGGAATTGGTTTTCTCTGCAAAAACTGACCACACCATTTAGATTCACATGTGCTTCATGGTGAAACATACACACTGGTTTTGAGTTGGATATTCTGTTTTTTTTCATATTCATGTTTTTCTTTGATTTATACATTTATGCTAGTGTGTTACCAAAAGTTAAATGATAACCTCAGTTTCTATTTTGTTTTTAAGGTGAAACGTACACAGTTAGTAGACAGTCGTACTTCAGTCACCGATGTCAAGTTCGCACCTAAACACCTGGGTTTGTTATTAGCTACTTGTCAGCCGATG